AAGGAATAGGTTTGGGTGGTTGGGCCGCCTCATGAACTGCCATTGCCAACCATAAAGCCCAAAGACAAAAGGCTTCGGAAAGGGTAGTCACGGGCATGGTTGCATGATTGTTTTTCCTGTATGTTGCGTTTTGAAGTACGAGTGCAAAGAAGACCTTGGAGTCGCGCATGCTTCTCTTTTGAACGCGGAGGGCTTGCTGTCCGAGCGCAGGCGAAACGACACTTCGTGGCCGTGCGGCGGCTGTACACTGTACACAATATGAGAGATTTGCGCTCCCCTTGAGAGGTCGGTCGCGCCCTTGCCCCGAACTACTGCTGCCGCTCGTAATATGAATAGTGCACAATCACATCACACACCTCTTGCGGGTGTGAAATGGTGAGGAGTCAGGTGCCCAATGAACTTCCAATCCGCGTCGTACTGCACACGGGACAGTGCTACATATCCGGCAGCCGGAACATTCGCTGTGTTGAGCCAAACAATTAGGTGAGACAGCGTTGCGCCCTGCACTTTCACTAGCGTCGTGGCATAGCCCAGCCGTAGCGGCAGGTACGTGCTCCGGCATGGCACCCCTCCGACTATGATCTCCGTGTCTGTGAAGGGAAACACAGTCAGGATGGCTCCAGCTCGCGTGCGCACTACGATGGTTGTGCCTCGAACTCCGATCACCTCAGCGCTCATCCCATTCACGAAGCCCGCTGCCTTGTTGATGTTCCTGGTCAGGGTGACGCGCATGCCGATGTGGATCTCCAATTGCAGAGGTTCACAGTCGACCAGCTGCCCACGGTCATCGTAATTGTACAGGTTGCTTTCGTAGTCGGCAGGCACAGTTGCGCATTGCTGTCCATCTTCAAAGAGAACTTCCACTGCTAGTTCATTCAGCTGCGCCGCTGCCCGACGCGTCACCGTCACGAAGGTGGCATCTGGCCAATGTGTCAGCATGTCCCGCATGTCCATGTTCGTCGGGTCTGGACTGTATCCAGGGCCTCTGTCCGGCATGGCCCGGTGTCCTCGGAGCATCTGAAGGAGCTGCTCCTTTGACGGCTTGGCCGTGCGCAGGAGTTCCAACTTCCATTTGAGCTCTGCGCATTTGCAGCGCCTCATCGTATGCAGGTGACGCTTCACCACGTGCTGCCAGCGAGGGCTGTCGGTGGCTCTGGTTCCATCCATGCCCTGCAACTGATGAAAGTCGCCGACGAAGACCAATGCTGGCCGGCGATCTGCATTGTCCCACAGCCAGAGGAGTCGCTCGAAAGTCTCTTGTGACAATTGGCCGACCTCGTCGATGATCACCAAGTCGAAGCCAGCCATGCAATCCCAAGTCTGGTGTTTCTGCTTATGCAACAGAAACATGCCGTGCAGCGTGTCCACGTCGAGGTCGGGGAACTTCTCGCGGTAGCTGCTGGCCAGCATGCCCGTCGGGCAGGCGATGCCGACGTGCGCTCCCGCTTCCACAGCCCGACGAATCGCGACCTCCACGCTCGTGGACTTACCGCTGCCGGCTGGCCCCAACACGCAGAGCGGTCTGGTGGAGCGAGGACGCTGGCTCTCAGGTTTCTGAAGCATCTCTAGGAGCTGAGCGGCTGTGGCGTCATCCGGATATCGACAACGAAGTGACCACACAACCATGTCCTTGATGTTCTCCAGCACCGCTGCTTGCTCGGGTTCGAGCCTTCCCTGAAAGCCCAGTTCCGGCGCTCGAAAGTGTTCCACAGGCGGCTGCGGATCATCTTCCAGCGTGAAGGTTCCTGATAAATAAGCCTTGACGACCGCCGTGTGTGCCTCCAGCATGGCAAGGATGTTGTTCATGGGCGCCTCGCGGTAGCCGGCCAACTTGAGCTCTTCGCGCACGTTGAGGGGTCGCTCCCAGAGGCCAGGCTTCTTGAGCAGGCAGAGGGCCAGCATGCGATAGCCCTCGGGCACCCGCTCGACCCGTTCATCCCACAGCTCGTCCACTCTGCGGAATGGTATATTGAGCACCAGCCATTGCCCGTAGTATTCATCGGTCATTCGACTCCTTGTAATGGCAGCCACGAGCACTCTTCGTGGGTCTCTGCGTCTTCCCCCATCCTTGTTACTCAGACGCAGGTATTCGAGAAAGCTACACTCTTCGCGTCGCCATGTGCAGTTCATGTAGGCCTGGAGCCGACCGTCCGGGAGCTGCTTCCATGGTATTTTGACGTTCACACGCCGCACGACGCCCGTCATAACCACCTGGCGGAACATTTGACCCGCCAACTGCAGCCACATCTCTGGCTCCAAGGGATGGTACTCCGAGAGGATGCGACGTGCCAGGTGGTAGTCGGTCGCCTCCTCGTTCAGCCAGCTCGTCGCAAACTGATCCGAAAACTTGGCATTGTAGCTGGCGGCATATTGGAGCAGGAGCTCACGCCCGTTTCCAGTCTGCACGTCCATGTGGCAACCCAAAGCACCAAGGACATCGGGCATCCACGCCCTGACATTTGCCTGCTTGGCATCTGAGGGGTGCTGCAGTAGGATACGTTTCTGTTCTGGGTCGAATTTTGTTGGCTCCTCTCGCAGTGGCCAGGCGCTGTCTTCCCAGTCCAGCTGCGACCCTTCGACCAAGTCTCGGAGCTCCGGCTCCTCCTGCGGGAGGTCCGCACGCAGGACCCGTTGCCACGGAATGGCTTCTGGATTCTTCAGCCAGACAAGCAGGTGCAGATGAACCCGACCAGACCCGTGGTAACTTTGAGCTGGACCTACGTGGCGCTTCCTTTTTCCATCCTGGAACTCCAGCCTGCCGAAGATCTCTTGCACGGTCTTCTGACCTGGCTCCTCGGACGCCAGGACGTGCTCCGTCCACCTACGGCTCTGGTTGCTTCCCTGTCTGTTGGTGCCACCGATAAGACCCTCTGCAGTTTGCAGCAAAAGGTGGGCCAGGTGGAAGGTCTCCGCCGCAGGCAGGTTGGTTCGTGTGCGGAGCATCTTGGCCAGCTCGTCCTGGACCCATGCGTGATATGGAGCCGATGGTTCGTACGGCGAGATGGTGATGAACAAGTGCGGAAAGCCGATCTGCGCCACGCAGTCGATTAGGCCCTGATGCAGCGTCTGCCAGTACGCAGGCGAGAAGCTCCTGCCTGCCAGCGCTCCCCGCAGCGTCGTGCCGCCGACGTGCTTGGCGGCGCCTAGTGAGCTCCACAGCCAGAGGTCATAAACGAACTGTTCAAGCTCCCTGTCGGCCCCGTACCCGATGACGGACGACAGCACCTTCGCGACAAAGCTGCCTTTGGCGGTCTGTCGCCTGTGCGACTGCCCTGGCTCCATGCCTTCAAGCTCGTTTTCCTCATCAGACGCCTCCTCGTCAAGGGCGTTATCGCCATCGGCAGGCTCTGCACCCTGTCCACGATGTTGCCGCCGGGCGTCCTGGCTTCGAACGAAGGTTTCGCACATGTCCGTAGTCCAGTAGAGATGAGGCCACACTGCACATTCGAGGCCAACGGTTTCCATGAAGTTCATCGGCAGAAATGGAACTGGTTCGCCTGGATCCACATCGCCAGATGCAATGTCTCTGTTTCTTCGACGCAAGAACATTGTGTGTGCGCGGAGAAATTGCGAATACGAGCTGTCTGCAGAGGCCACCAAGTAGTCGTAGGCTTTCTTTCCCCGCCGCCATTGTCGTTGGTCCAGCGCCGCGAGCCGTTCCTCGACTGACGTCGGCTCCCAACTGAAGCGTGTGGGGGCCGTGTGTGCGAAGTAGCCCGGGTGCGCTCGCTCTGGCCTACCAATGTTCACTCGAAAGATGCGAAGCGCGTCAATGACGGGCCTGTCCAAGCACTGCAAAGGCTTCGGGACGTCCGACACAGTCGGCACCCAGTATCCGATTCCCTTCTGGCAATACCGACAGGACCGGATCTGGGGGTTCGGCTTGCATTTAGGCCGCGCCATTGCAGGTCGAAATTTGACGGGCTGCAACCGATTGCATTGCGCGCACATTGTCCATGAATGGTAGTTAGCAAAGCGCGTGAAGGCATTGGCGAGTGAGCTCTGCCAGGAGGCCGGGGACGTCGAGGCCGAGAATGCAACCGGAAACTTCCTCTTCAGCGCGAGGTCTGCTTCAGTGGCTCTCTGCCGGTGATCTTCCGTTTCCAAGTCTGTGAACCTCATCTGCGCCTGTCGGCCTGCGAGGACAGGAGCCCACTGCTGCGCGCGTGTGACCTCTGCGGCACGCTTTCGAGCACGGGCTTTCACCTTGGCGTTCCTGGCACGCAAGGCACGAGTTGCGCCTGCTTGCTTCAGCTTCTGCAGCCTGGCCACGCAGGTCCTCAGCGTTGCGTGTCCGCAGAAGTCTCGAATGCGATCTTGTGCTCGTTGGAAAATCTCGTCACTGTTCTCTTCAAAGAAAGCCAAAGAGGATGTGATGATTCCTTTGCCTCTAGCGTTGTGCAGGTTGGCACGCATCTCAGCTTCGGAGCAAAACGGACACGAGGTCTGCTTGCGCTCCGCGTGAACTCGAGCTTTGCTGCCGCTCTGCAGGATGCTGAATGTGCATGTTTGCGCAGGCGTACCTGAGCAACGGGTGCCTGACGGGCCCGGCTTACCCGACACTCTCGTTCCGGATCTTGGATTGCTTCCATCTGCACCGACCGCAAGAGAGCGGCGACGAGCCAGGCGTTGCCGCAGCCCGGCCGGGCGGCGCAGGACGAGTCGGGCCATTGCAGTGCGCGGAAGGCTGGAGGGGGCGCTCTTAGATTCTAGACGTTGCTCGAGCACGCAAATGCCGAAGACCTGCGGTTGCTCGTGTGCCAGAGCTGCATAAAGACTTCATCCTGAGCCGATTGCACGCTCCCTGGACACCCAGTCATGCTCCATATCTGCTCACAGACTACACTGTTTTGCTTCAAGCAATGCGCCTATATTTAAGCCTCACGATTGGCCTTCATTTTCCTCTGAAACAGGACACGCGTGTCTTCCTGTACACTGTACAATGACTCGAAACTGCTGTTCGAGCAAACGACTCCCGGTACCTGTCTACCTCGGACTTCTCAGGGGCCACTTGCCGAGCTGCCTGTGGACACGGGCGACGGCGAGCCCGTGCTGCTGTCGTGGTGTAGCCAACCCTCCCAGAACGGTTCCACTTCGTAGCACACGAGCACGACGGCGAAGCTTCCGAAGTCGTAGCGCAGCATGCAGAAGCTGACGACTTCCGGACGCTGCGGGCCGAAGCCAAAGAGTCTGCCCTGGTGTTGCGGCAGAAGATCCAGCATCAAGTACCAGTGGCTCAAGTTCTCCAAAAGGGATCTCCAGATCGTGCCCACTTCGGGTCGGTTGGCGTTGGCAGCATTGAGATGCAGCAGGACGTCTTCGTCGTTTTCGTTGCACGCACGCTCGCATTGCAGATTGACGTTCCAGCGATGCTGAACCCAGGAGAGGGGATGGAGGCGTAAGGCGGCGTCCCACTCCACGAGAACGTTCAGACGACCTCGCATGGATGGGTGTAGGAGGCCATGATGCACCAACCCACTGAGTTGCTCCGCCACCGCCTGTCGGTGCAGATTGAGCATCGCTGTTTCAGGTGACAGGGCACTGCGAATCGCCACGCCCGCCGCAGCCAGTTGCAGAAGATCCGCGGCGGGGCACCCCGCGGCGACGATGCGCAAGCAGCTGCTTGGCATTCCACCGAGGCTCATGATGCGCCTGTGGTTCATCTACGAGGTGCTACAACTGACGACTCTGACGGTTGCAGGCACGCCGAGCAACATCTTATTGCAGCACGGATACGCTATCACAGCGACTTCACCAAAAGGAAGCTACGGACGACGTGAATGCAAAGCGTATAACCTGATTTCGGTCAGAGAAGGATACACGACACAAGCATGCAACATCAACAGACGACGCAGCCGGCGGTGGCCTGTTTTTTGTGCACCGTCTTGCATTCAAAGCGTGTGTCTATTGGCACGAAACAGTTGTTCTGCCGGAGACTGTTTGCCCACGAGTCTGTACTTCGGGAGCTCTACATCATAGAGGGCGGGCCCGGCAACCCACCTCTCTTCTGGTTGCCGACGTCGATTCACGACTACAATTACTGGTGTTTCGCTGCAGTCTAGGCCGTCCTTCAGTGCTTCTCGCCTCGCTGCCACGATGATGTCGGCAATGTCGAAGCTCGCGTGCGCCTTACGCAGTCGGCCGACAAGGGACGTGGAGGACATGTTCTGGCTAGCGTGGTCGGGTTACAACATGGCCTCTGCGCCTGCCTTCTTCACAAGTTCTTGCCAAGCGTCCTGCCAGCGAATGGGTCCCAGTACACGGCCGCCTGCTGTCCACAATGTTGCTTCGGGGCCATCGTTCCACGCCAGAGCGCAAGTTAAGACGAGGGGAGTGCAGTTCGGCGGTGCTCCATGGTTCATGACGGGCCTGTGCTTTATCTCCGAGGTGCTACAACTGAAACTCTGACAGCTGCAGGCATACCGAGCAACATCTTGGTGTTGCAGACACATTGCCTTGTCAAGCAGTACGTTGCCTAGCATTCCCATGCTCTGCATCTTACATTTTCTCGCGCCGTTGCTGCATTGCTGTGCACCGTACTGGGAGCACTCTCGTGCCGTTTCAGCTCCATTGCGGGCGTTCTCTTGTACCTCAAGTAGTGAGTGCCCCGGACATGCGAAGCCCTCAAATTGTTTAGACTGAGGCTGCCACTCCGAGAGCACGTCGCGGCGATCTCCGTTACCACCGGCCGGGATGAACCTCGCTGAGCTTTCATGACGGGGATGCAACAGGCGAGCTGAAGCTGAGGGAGGAGCCACGAAAGGCAAGCGGACGAGACGGCCGTTGAAGCCGCGGAGGTCGAAAGCGCCGTCGTCTTGCTCCTCTTGCTCGACCAGATCCACAGCCTGCAGGGCAGACTTAGCCAGGCTGAGGTTTCGGTGGTTCGTGGACACCGCGCCTCTTCGATGCACCCGGCTGCATGTCGGAGCACTTCGGCCCAAGGGTGACCGGGCATCGCCCGCTGGACAACGAAGTTTATACCCAACAGAGCCTGCCAATTCCCCGCGCAAAGAACACATCCAGATCTGCGCTCTTCGCAGGGCCTCGATGTAGTCCCCGGCCGTCTCGGCGTTGCTGATGTGCGGCTTGTTCATATACTCGCCGAGGCGGAGAAGCTGCCACACGCGAAGGTAGCAGGCCTTTGTGCTTTCATGAAATAGGGTTGTTCAGGAGAGGACAGCCTGACCGAGCTACGAACGTTTCCGGGGTCTGCGTACAGGACGCCCGAGCTGCTTTGCCAGCAGTTGGCCTGCAAGCTCAGGTGGATACGGTCCTTGCAACGCCGTCGCCATCCGGGCCTCTGAAGCAAGTGGCGGGCCGTAACTTCGCCGTACGGCCCCGAGGTGAGACAGGACCTGCAGGCATCAGGCTGCATGGTGTATGTATCATATAGAGGCGCCGCGCCTTGCGATCGCGTTTGCCCAAGTTTGCGACGAGGTCCAGTACGGGCTGACCCAGCGTCAGCAGCACGCGCAGCTCCCACCATCCCAGGGCCACCTGATGTCAAGCATGGATGTCAAGCATAGATGTAAAGCATGCATGTCAGACACATGGATAGGCACTGCAACACAATGCTCTGCCTCCGTCTGCACGGTCGGGTGCGGAGGCACCCAGGCGAAATGCGCAAGAGCAACTTGGGGAGGAGCGCTGAGGAGTTGGGCCACCAGTGCGCGCTGATCCTCGCTCCACTGCATGGTGTAGATTCAGGGTGAAAGGCGGACTCGAAGCTGTGAGAATAAGCTGCGGGAGCGCCGACAAGTCGTAAGCAAGCTAGCAACCCGTTTTTCACGTGCCCTGTCATGACTCTGACAGTTGCGACATACCGAGCAACATCATGGTGCAACAGAAACATTGCCTTGTCAAGCAGCGCATTGCCCAGCATTCCCATACTCAGCATCTTACATTTTCTCGCGCCTTAGCTGCGTTGCTGTACACTGTACTGGCAGCACTCTCGTGCCGTTTCGGCTCCATTGCGAGCATTCTCCCGTACATCAAATAATAGTCAAAAGTCAGTCCTTGTCAGAGTCGCTGACGGTGAACGGACCGATGTTCGCGGCCTCTCGCGCGAAGGAGCTCGGGGAAGCAGATGCCGTTCTGTCCGTCGCCAGATCCTCTTCTTCTTCGTCTTCTGAGAAGAGCCACGAAGCCACGTCGTCTTCCTCTTCTTCTCGGTCGTCCTCTTCGAAAGGCGGGCGCGAGCAGCAGCACACCACGTAGAAATCGAGCTGCTCCACGCGCATGTCCACCAGAAAAACTGTCAGCCCGCCGCCCCAGCGACAAGGCGCCATGCAGCCGAAGGGCTCGCGTGCCACGTGCGGCGGGGCGTCGACGTACAGGTGCATGGCGACGGTGTGCTGGCGAAGAAAATGCAAGCTGTCGCCAACATCCTGCGGAGCACCGCGATTCAGAGCCTGAAGCAAGTCGGCCTGGTCCACGTGAACGTGGCGGGCGTACCCGTTCAGGTCGGCTCGAGCTGCGGTCGACACGTTCCACTTGACTTGCAGCCACTCCGACGCCGGTCGCTGCAGGCCGTTGACGAACAGCTCCACTGGCTGAAGGCCCTGCATGCACGGACAGAGCATGCCATGCTCCATTACTGCCCTCAAGCCCGCCGTTACGCGAGCGCGCACCGTTGCCAGGTAAGCGCACTGCCGACCCAGGCCTTCGGACAGCCGGCGGGTTGTCCATTGCAGGCGCACGCATTCAGCTGGCTGCAGCCATTCCAACAGCAGATCATTGAGGATATCTTGCACGACGTTGCGGCGGCCCATGCTTGCTACGATCGCAGAAGGAGTAGGACCCTAGGCTTCTCTGCTTTCTTGATATACCTTCTGCAGGTCGTTTGTCAGCCCCTTCACTGGCATTGCAGACATCTGAGAGCCTAGAGACCTCGACCCTTTGCACTGTTTTGTTTTCCTTTCCGAGCTGCAGCTGTACCCTGTACATGTTACGACTCGGATTGGATACACCGTGCTGATTCTCGAGCTCGCCATCCTCGGTCGCAGCTCAGCTACCACGGTCGCGAAGCCTCTGCGGTCTCAAGTCTCTTCTTCGCTCTCTTGCTCAGTCCGCCACTGGACGTTGACGACAATTGGTTCCGTCACCCGCATGCAAGCGTGTCCGCTGCTGCAGTGACTGCACACAAACTGCTGGCAGGCGCGACACTGCGTGCGATGCATGCAGCAGGCGCCGCGTCCGCAGTCCTGGCAGAGGCTCGCGGCCAGGCCAGGCAGCGTGCAGAGGTCGCAGCGAAAGCTGTCCGGAGAGCCGAGCAGCTGCACTGTGACCAATGCTTCCGGACGAAGCACCTCGCAGCGTGCTCCTCCTAGAAGCTCAAGCCCGCCAAACTTGAGGGTGACCTGGTGCGGGTGTGCGCCGAGCTGGAAAGCCACTGTGCGCCGCACGAACTCCAGTAGCCAATGTGCACATACGTACATGCTCATTCCAACCAAGCCCCAGTGAAGGTGCAGACGAAAAGCCTCCGGCTCGTGCGCTCGCACGCAGAGCTGGACGTCGTTGGGCAGATCATAGGCAGCCAAACTTTTCTCCGCTCGCAGCAGCGCGAGATCTTTCCAATAGATGCCCACGTCCTCGGGCCCCAGCTGCAGCGCGCTGTCGACGAGCATCCAGAGGAGCTGTGTGCTCACTTTACCAGGCACGGATGGCATCGTGTAGTCGCATACATCCGGAATGTGCAAGCACAAGCGCAAGTGCCGAAGCGAGGCCCAGGATGCGAAGTCGGGCAATTGATTCGCCGTGATGATGTCGAGGTGAAAGCCACCCTCAATGGTCCAATCCGACTCCTCCGCCGAGCTGCTGAAGGCGGGGCACTCGGCGAACCAGTGGGACGGCGCTGCCCGACGGTGTTCCCAGGGCAACATGGCCGGCTGGTGTGTTCTATCCTACGGAACTTGGCTGTGACCACGACGCCTGATGGATGCTCTCGTGTTCAAGAAATTATAATCGAAAGAGTAGGTCGCCTCGCAGACAATTTCAGAGCAATTCAGCATGCTCTGTGCAGACCTAAGGCAGGCACTGCGAACAACGCAAGTGGATGCAGACGCACGCTCTTCGGCTTTTTTTCTCATGTTTGCACGCGGCATCTTAGAGCTGTACATCGGGGCCGCCTGTTTGCGGCCGCTGCCAGGGATGTCTACGCCCGAAGCTGCACGGGCAGTGCCATTCAGGGGTGACTCTTGCTACGCCGAGGAGCGGGCGCCTGCTGCCTGCTGCTCCTCATAGAAAGCCACCACTGCGTGAGTGGCGTCCAGAAGCTGCTGGAGAAAACTGCGTGCGTCCTTGCTGCTCACCATTGCACCTGCAGCTTCGCTAAGATCTGGCAATGCTGCGGGCCGCAACTCCTCGGGCACGGTGTGCAACGCTGCTGCAAGCTGGCTCACCGGGAAAAGGCCTTCCTCCTCGTTGCCAACCTCTGTGACGAGGCCCTCCAAGGCGGATTCGGTGGTCTGGGCGTCACTCTGCCGCCATGCAGTGAATGCAGCACTGCGCGCCTCCTCTGCTCGCCTTGTTGCTGCCTCCACGGCGCGCTTCTTTTCTTTTGAGCTGCCATGGCTGGCGCTGCTTCTCTTCCTCTTCTTGTGCTTCTTCTCGGCGGCGTCTTCCGCGTCCTTCAACTTCTTGTGCTTGTTCTCGGACATCTTGGCCTCGTCGCGATGCCGGGTTTTCTCTTTCTCCTTCTTGTCCTTCAACACAACAGATGTGACAGTCCTCCCGGCGCGATGCCCCTCTTCTTTCTTCGACTTGCGTAGCGATGCACGCTCTCCCGATGACTCTTCGGCTTTGACCTCTGCGTCCGTCTCCTCTGCAACCTCTTTCTTGCTGACCAATGGACTTGCGCTCGCCTCCGAACGACTTCTGTTTTTGTTCTTCTTGGTGCGCCTTGCGGCAGAGTCCTCCTTTCCACCGGCTTTCTTGCGCTTCGGAGACTCAGATCGACTGCCGCTGTCTGTCTCCTTCTTCTTCGACCGTTTGGCCTTGGCCTCCTCTGGCTCCTTTCTTTTGGCTTTCCTGGGCGCAGACGAACTGCCCTCGCTGCTCTCGCTGCCGGAGCTCTCTTTTCGGTTCTTTCTGCCCGACTTTCGACGAGGCTCTTCGCTGGAGTCGTCTCCGCGAAATGCCAGGCCGGAGCTCTTCCAGTCCGCTTCCTGTTTCCGTCGAGCTTTGTAAGCCTTGACGAGGAAGTTAGCAGCCGTGTCAGCGGAAGGTTTGCTCTTCTGCCGGAACTCATCCAAGGCGTCCTGTATGAATTCTTCCTCCGGAATCTGCTGGGCCCATGCCTTTAGCGCGTCAGCTTTTACCAGGGCATCCAGCGCATGGAGCGCGGCATACTCCTTGGCGGCCGCGACGGCGACGCGTGGAAGCTGCTTGTAGAGAAGTTCCTTGTGTTCCTTGAGGAAGGCGAAGACTTTGGCGAAGCACTTCTTCTTCGACTCCGGGTCGAACTTCGAGGTTTCAAAATCGAGGCTACTGCAGGCCTCCAGGAAGCCCTTGCCCTCCTTGGTGCCGAACAGCTCGTTGATCTTTTGCCTCGCCTCGGCTACTTTCTCATCGGTCAACGCTGTGGAGAACGTCGCCACGGTGCCACCCATCATGGACACGCCATAGGCGGGACGGCGGGACATCTCGGAAACGTCCGCCGTCAGCAGCTTGCGGATCGACGCTTTCTGCAGCAGCGCCAGGTCGTCGCCGTTGGAGTAGAGCATCTGGCCACCGGCCTGTGCGTAGGGCCGCAAGAGCTTCTTCACCAGGCTCTCTCGCCCGACGAGGCGTCGGGTCCAGGCGGTCTTCTCTTCGACCTCGCTGCTGGCATTAGTGCGCCAAGAAGAAGCACCCCAGTCCCCGCTCCGATCCGACCAGCCGGACTTGCCGCCGCCGCTGCCTCCCTTCCAGGTCTCGGTTCCATACCATGCCGCCTGGCCCTTCTTGCCACCCTTGCCGGCACCCTTGCTGCTGCCGCGGCCACCGAACATGTCGGGCGGGAGTGTAGGAGAATGGCTCGAGGCTAGATAATGCTAGATAGATGGCTGCCACATCCGTACTGGATCCACTACCATTCATCCCTGACATTTTCACAGCTGGCTCTATGCCACCAATTCCGACAGCGACAGACACAGATCGAGCTTTTTCTTTCTGCCGGCGGGCTCAACTGTGCACTGTACAACAAAGACTGGCTTGCTCGCACGGCAAGGGAGCATCGCATGTCTGCAAACGGACCGAGTGAACCCTACGGCATTGCGTCATGTCTGCGGGTCCTCTTGGTCTTCTTCTCGGTCGAAGTTGGCTGCGAGGCTGCTCCGGGACGCTTTAGAGGCCGCAGGGCCGCGTCGTCCAGCTTGATCCAGTTGACCTGGCCAGTCTTGCGCTGGTAGGGGACGGGCTTGTCATAGCGAACGGGGCTCGACACGACCAGTGCGTGCCACCTCTTCCATCGGAAAGCTTCGAAGTTGTCGACGCGATGTCGGTCGAAGTTCCTCGGCAACGGTGGGAAGTTTGCTTCGTTGCCTTCAACCGCAACCAGCGTGCCTCCAGCGTCGCGTTCGGCGACTTGCATGGACTCCAAGACGACAACCTCGCCGATAATGAGCCCGGCCACGGCAATGCCGATGCGGCCCCGTATGTGGCAAGCACTGCCACGGAGCTCCCAGTCCTTGGTGCCGTCGACGAGGTAGCTGGCCCACGGCTCTTGCACGACCAACGCGCGCTCCGGAAGCTGCAACGGCCGGGCCATGACAAAAGGGTGATGTAGAACTGAGAAGTAGGACGACAAGGAATATATAGGAGGCTCGAAGCTAGACTGCTGCCATGCCGGCGCCAATCGTTTCCTCGTGCTGGGCATTTTGGGTTCACCATAACTTTAGACTATAGACGATGCTTGACAGCTCGCAACGTGCTATCTTGTCCTAAAGTCACACACACAAAAAGGCACGGCTCGTTTGTTTTACCCGCTTGCGGGCTCCTCTGTACACTGTATACACATGCTGCCCCGCCGACCGGGAAAGTCCTGTGGACGCTGTGGACCAATCGAGCGAAGCTTACGGAAGCTGCGCTCCGTTGCGGCCGCTGCGTCCGCGGGGCCCGCGACGGGCACGCCCCGGATCGCGACGCCGCAGATTGTGCGCTCTTCGCGCTTGAAAGTCATCGGCTATGGCGGCGCCCAGCACCGTCCTGATGCGGTCCAGGGCTGCCTCGAGGACGTCGTCTTGGAGGTGAATCAAGAGGTGCGTCAGCAATGCCGGCCTGTTGCGGTGCGTCTCTTGCAGCAAGTCGTCGTTGCAGAACACGCACTGCCCCCCGCGCGCCGGCTCGGCCGCGGCACCGCTGCTGCTGCTGTGGAACCTGCAGCTGTCAGGGCCGCGACCACTGCAGCGGCTGCCGGCGACGACGGCGGCACTGCGAGTCGGCCGCCAGAGGTGCTGTCCTGTTTATAACTTATAATGCGATGGACAAGCAACTGTTGCGGAGATGCGAGCGGCACAGCAACACTCCTCGTCCCAGGGCCTGCGCTGGCAGCACGGCCGCAGCACGCCGAGCGGGAGCGGATACCGAAGGCGGCACGGGCGCCTGCGGCGGCGTCGTTTCCGAACTCTCCGAGGAGGACGATGAGCTGTCGAGCACTTCTACGGCCGCACCTCACGTGAAGAAGTCTAAACATTCGTGACACGCGCTGCGTGCTTGGATTTGCACGAGACACACGAGCATGCGCCTCCGTGATGATTGCGAGGTGACGCCTGCGAGAGCTGCTACTCAGCTGCTACTCCCGTACCCATGAGTTCTGACTGGTCCAACTTTTGCTGGCCTCAGCGCCTGGGCGGTGCCGCGTCGGCGAGCGTGAGCGGGATGCCTGCGAAGAGTCGCCCGAGCTATCGTCCGCCGCCACTCCCATAAGCCTCAGAAGGGGGGCCCATGCCCCGACTTGCGAGATTGCGCACACCTCAGAACCCTGCTATGCGTATAAGTGCGCGACAGGACGACTGCTGCCAGTAAGATCATGGCAAGAAAGCTGACTAATGCCATAGAGCTGATCCAATCTTATGCCAAGCAATAATCGTTCGCGATCCTGAAGTTAGGAGTTTTGGATTGACCTGCTGGCTCGGATCTAGGGCTATTTCACAACTCATGCTGCTGTTCCAGGAAGATGGCAACGCAGGCGGAACGATTTTACAGGAAGATGCGAGAGGTCTGCTGCAGCCGGCGCTCACACAGCAGCCAAGGCCTCGGAGATCAAGCCGTGGCGAGTACTTAGCTACAGTGCTTTTATGCAAACTGCGTCTGGGGGCACCGCCCGCAGCAGTTCGGGCCTGTGGCTTGGGAGGCGTGGCACGCGGTGCTTGGCCGTTCGCCTGGCCCATACCACGTCCTCCTCATTCACCACGATGTCCTGACGGGCAGGACAACTGACAGAAAAGACATACGGGGGAAGTTTTCTTTCAGTGACCAACGTGCATCTCTCTGAGGCGGCCGCAATGCGCTTGTGCACGTGGTCAGGGGACACTGACCCGGCGAGCAGGTGCTCCCGGGCCCAGTTCGTGTAGTATTTCGCCTGCTCGGACGCTTTAGGTTGTCTGCCAGTTCACCTGCAACGACGGCCTTCTCCAGCAGCGCTTCGGGAGGCTGGCGGTGCGCGCCGGTGAAGCTTAAGGTGGCGTTCTGCCGTGCGAAGACAAGCTTTTGCGCGCTAGCTTCACCAACCCATCGACGAGGCGCGAGACGCCTCGTGCAGGTTGAAGAGCGGGACGTCCACCGCGCGCACCGCTACCAGCACTCGTCGCTCGTCGACCTTGGCCTGTCCCCGGAACCGAGCAGCTTGCAAACACGACGTGGCGCCAATACACATCACAATTTGAAACACCCTGAGCTGCCT